GTGCGCGTCTGACCCGGGGCATGTGGGGTTTAGGGCTGCGGGATCAGCGGGTCCCCAGGCAGAACACACCTCCGGCACGGGTCGGGGCACGCGGGCGGCGGCGGCTGCGGCGCCGCCGGCGCCGTCGTGGCGGCAGCAGCAGCAGCGGCAGCACGAGCAGGAGCAGAAGCAGGAGCACCGCCACCGCGAGGAGCAGCAGCAGGCGGAGGACGACGATCAGAGCGGCACGGGCGACGTGGACGGGGCCGAGGGGACAGCCCCTGAGGCCTCGCAGGCGCGCCCCTGGCAGCGCTGGCCCTGGGCGCGCCTGCGCGGCGAGCCGGCTGGCGGCGCGGGGGAGGCGCCGTCGCCGAGGCGGGGCGCGTCTGTGCGTCTGGGGGTCCGCAGCAAGTCGTTCTCCGGCATCGTGAGTGTTGAGGCTTTTGGGTGGTCACCTTACGTGGGGTCTCCTGTTTTCCCTCAGCTAAGAGTGTGCTACAGGTGCCCGACAGACCGCCTGCCTTATTGACGCATTCATGAAACCCCATGCGCCTAATACAGCGGCAACAACCCCCAGCTGACCTGCAGGATATCCCTCGATTTGCCCGTCTTAAAGACCCCCCACATCAATCGCGACCTCAACGCCCTTGCCCGTCGCTGCAATCCGCCGCCAACAACAGGACCGGCTGGCAGATGAGAGCCGCCCCGGGCGGCCGCTGGCAAAGCTGCGGCGCACGCGCAGCGTGGGGCGCTTCGACCACACTCCCTGGACCGTGCCGTGGGACCACGGCTCTGGGCAGGAGGGGGAGGGGGATTCGCTGTCGGCGCAGATCATCCGCATGGCGGGTGCGTGGGTGGTTCGGCGGTTGGAGGGTGAGGGGTTGGATACGGTTGTGGGTGGATGGCTGGGCACGATGGTAGCAGTGTTGGTGTATCGCTGCGTTGCCGACGCCATTTTGCGCCCTGCGGACGGCCTGCATTTTCTGGAAGGGCGCTGGGCAGTGCAGCTGGCGCTGACGTCCTGGCGGTGTTCTGGGAACTTGATCCACTGCCCCGTGCGCTTGGCAGCCTGAGCATAATGCAGCACAGGGTGTCTCGCCGCTTGAGCGCCCCTTGTGACATTCCCGGCGGCGCATGTGACGCACGGCCTCGAGTCGCCTGGACATTCAAATCCCCCCTTAATTTCTCCACACCAGCCAGGCTGCCCCTTCCAGATCCCGCAGCCGCCATCACCCCCTCAACTCCCAGCCACCCCATCCTCCTTGCCAACGCTCTTAACACCCACTTTGCGCCACCCAAACCCAACCCCCCAGGTTACCCCCTCCAGACGTACACCGTGGTGACTGAGGACGGCTACGTGCTGCGCATGGAGCGCATCCCAAGGCCGGGGGCGCACGACGTGGCGCTTTTCATGCATGGTGGGCGTACTTGGGGGAAAGGGGGAGTGAGTGGGGCCGGGGGCACAGCACAGGCCGCTCAGCTTCATTGTGTGGAGCAATGGCCGGGCCGCGGGCGCACGATTTGTCCCACACCCCTCCTCCTACCCGCATCACAGCTCAGGCCCCTCACCATTCCGCCCCACTACCCCTGCCCCCGAATCCCCCCCCACCCCCCAGGTGTCCTGGACACCTCCCTGACCTGGGTGTCCTCCGGCGTCACGGGCAGCCAGGCCTTTGCCGCCTGGGACCAGGGCTTTGACGTGTGGCTGGGCTCGTCGCGCAGCAACCCGCCACGTGTGGCAACAAGTGAGCCACCGCAGCCAGCCGCCTGAGCTTGCTGCCGCGACGACGCTAGCAGTGTGCAGGATATGCTGTCCATTGGCTGGAAAACGCCCGTCCTCTTGAGGTTGCAAATACCTGCCTGGTGTCACTCCGCCGTGTCATCACTCATGGCCTGCCGCCCACCGCCCCTCCCTGCGCCCCGCCTGCTCCCCCAGACCCGGCCCACCAGGGCATGGCCTACTGGAAGTACACACTCAACGAGCTGGGCATATACGACGTGGCGGCACAGGTCGACAGGCTGCACGAGGTCAAGATGCAGGTGGGCGGTCAAGATCAACCCGTTGACCGGCGGAGAGGGCTGCTGCGATGTTTGTTTAAGTGGGTTGAAGCTGGTAGCTCAGGGCAAGTTGCGGCGCAGGGGGGGAGGGGTGCTCATTCCGGGCCGACTGGGCGCACCAGCCGAGGGGATTTCAGAAGATGGCTTGGGTGGCACCTGGGGCGGGTTGTGTGACCTGGTTGAGAGGTGGACGGCTTTGGACTGGAGCCACTCAATGTTGGGGTACTGCATCCGCAACACTTGTGTCCTTCCTGGCCGCGCCTCGTCCTGCCTTCAGGAGCTGGGGGGCCGCGACCCACGCCTGGACCTGCGATACGCGGGAGACTCCGCCGGCTGGACCAGCGGCGAGCCCTCGGCGCCCGCCGCCGCGCCTGCTGTCAGGGGCGCCGCCGCAGCCGCCGCGGCTGACGCCGGCGCGGGCGAGCCGCTGTTCGGCGGGGAGGGCGTCAGTGGCGGTGGCGGCGGCGGCGGCGCCGCTGGCGGCGTGGTCGCGGCGGCCACGCTCGCGGGGCGCCTGCCGCGGCTGCGAATGCAGAGGTCGGTGAGCGACCAGCAGCTGCTGCTGCAGGCAGCACAGGGGCGGCCGCCGGCGGCGTCGCCGGGGCCCAGGGTGGCGGCAGCGCCACGCGCGTTGGCTGGCATGTCGGCACACGTGGCAAGGGCTGCGTCGGCGTCGGAGCATGGCGGCGCAGGCGCCGCCGCAGGTGCCGCCGCCGGCCTCGGCGCGTGGCTGCGCCGCGCAGCCCCGCGCTGGTCGTCGGGCGGCGATGGCGGCGACGACGCTGCTAGCAGCGTCAGCGGCGAGAGCGACGGCGGCCGCGGCGGCGGGAGCGTCGAATCGCAGGATGAAGGAGAAACCTCTGCAGTCGGCTCGCGCGCGCTGAGCGCTGCGGCGCAGTCCGCCAGCGCGCTGGCGGAGCGCGTGGTCCAGGGCGCTGTGGCGCTGGGCAGCAGCATAAGCAGCGGCATCGCTGGCGGCCTCGCGCGCGCGCTGCCGTCCCAGGGTGTCGAAGCCGACAGCGGGGGCGGTGGTGGCGGCGGACCGCAGGAGAGGAGCGAGGGGCATGGCGAGGCAGGGAGTTGGGAGGGCGAGGGATTGGGTGAAGAAGCGCGAAGCACGTCTGGAGGCGAGGGGCAGCAGCAGGCGGCCAAGGGGTCTTGGGGCGACGAGAGGGGGCTGCCGCAGGCAGCAGCCCCGGAGGACGGCAGCGGCAGCATCGGTGGCGGCAGCAGCGGCAGCGGCAGCGGCGGCAGCAGCCACGCAGCGGCCTCGAGCGGCGGCGCCGCCGGCAGCGTCGACGGCGTCCCGGGCACGCCCCGCGAGCCGGCCACGCCTGAAGCGCGCGATCGGCCGCCGCCTGTGGCGGCAGCATCAGCTACTGCGACGGCAGGCGGCGCGCGGGATGGGACTGCGGAGGGTCCGCTGAACGGGGGTGCGGCGGGGCGGCCCCCGGCAGCGAGCTTGAATCATAGTGTTGAGCGGCAGGATGTTGGGCGGCACTTGGGGGCGGTGCAGCCAATTGCACAAGAGCAGCAGGATGGGCAGCAGCAGGATGAGCAGCAGCAGGATGAGCAACAGCAGGATGGGCAGCAGCATTGGCAGGGGCATGATTTGGAGGGCAACACAAAGCAGCATGATGAGGGGCGGCAGGCGGGGCCAAAAGGTTTGCCCGAGTCTCCGCCTTCAGCAAGCCCGTTCGCAGCGGCGGCAACGCAGCGGCGGGCGGATTCAGGCCGCGATGAGTCCTGCGGCAGCAGCTGGCTAGACTTTGAAGGAGGTGCGCGCGAGCGCACGAGCGACGGCAGGGGCGGCGGCGGCCCGACTCTGTACGGCCCAGACAGCTTTGAGGCCGCCCCCGGCGGCGTCGAGGCGGCCGCGGCGGGCGCGGTCGCGGCGGCGAGCTCGGTCGTCGCGAGCGTCGTGCTTGGGACGGCAGCAGTGGCAGAGGCGACGATGCAGGCGGCAAACAGCTTCGCGACCCGCCTGCGGGGCGGCGGCGGCAGTGGCAGCGAGCCCAAGCGCGGCAGCTTGCGGGAGGCGGACGAGGGGCAGGCG